TTGACTATTTAGTCAGCTGGAAAGGTTATGAACTAGAATCAAATCAATGGGTCAATGAAAAGTATATGGATGCAGAGGAGGCTATCCATGACTATGAGCACCAAATCAACAAGCTGGATGCAGAGGGGGTCATGTTTAACATTATCTCTGATCAAATATGTTCACCTGCCAAAACAACACAGGTCATAGAGAATAGAGATGCTGATGCTTCGATGGGCAAGCCAGAAATGGTGCAGACATACAGTGAAGTGCAATCTCTGACTGAGGATGGAGATGCTGATGCTGTGATAGGCTTGGATGACTTACCCTAACTTAACCATCAGGACAATGGTCTTAAAGAGGGGGTAATATTATGACTTTTTCTATTTTTTTCCTTTTCTTTTCCCTGAATGACCTCTATCTTTGCTTAGTCAGGGCATTTAGGCCAGCACTTAGGACCAAGAGAATGCTTAGCTCAGCAACCCAGTTGGTCAATGTGCTATTGCACTGCTGTGTGCTGTGAAGAGAGAGACAATGCTCCTTTTGTCTCTAAATAATGGTGCAGCAGTAATAGCACAACAGCAGGACAACAGCTTTTGTGGAGAGCCTGGAAACAGCAGGAGTAACAGCTCTATGACAGACAATATCTTTTGTGAACATTTATTAATAGCCAGATAACAGAACAGTATTTAAGTAGTGTAGCTCTCACTGTAACACTCCAGCTTTGAGCTAAAGTTTATTCTCCATCATCCTATCTCAAGCGACTTGCAACACCTTGACCATATACCTCTATTGACACATCAGTGAACTCAGTCAGTCTAACCCAAAGTGTGAGGTTCTGAACTGTTTATCATGTGTTAATAGTCACATGGAGTTTGAGCTTAACATAGAGGCTGGAATGTTTTCTATAGAAAACATGTTGTGATGGGTAGACTGAGTTTGTTTGGGATCAGCTTCTGTGGATTGAGTAAATGTGGTGGATATAATAAAAATTTTCAACTCAAGGATTTGAGTTCAAATATACTGTTAGGAATGTGCCAATCAAGTGGGTTTGAGTGCACACATAGAGACTGGCAGAGTGCATAAGTGTCAATAAAGCTATTGGCAATGTCACTCTTGAGTCAGAGCCTAAGAATTTGGATGGATAGAGCAGATTTTTGTCAGAGAAGCAAAGAGAAGTATCCTTTAGAGCAGAATCTGACAGATGAGGTAGAGAGAAGTTGAAGTGAGTATGAAGTGTAGATGGCTATCCAAGTTGCTATTCAAACTGAGTGTTTACAATGCTTGTATGTGGTTTATATACTATTAATAGCTAATTCCAAGTCAGAGTCTGTTGAGATGCAGTGTCAACTATTCACTACTATATTCAGAGTCTAGATACTAGAGTGTGAAATACCAATGTGAAATAGTAATAGTGAAATGAAATTGATAAGTAATAGGAACCAGATAGAGTCCAGTGAGACTTGTGTGAGCATGGTCAGTTAAGATGATGCAGAGGCCAGCAGCATGCACATAACAGTCCAGATAAATGTACATACCATGCAATTCAATATAGTATCAATGTTCTGAATTATGCTCTTGGTAAGATCTGATGGAATGCTGGTTGAAGTAGCCATTAGTAAAAGTCAGAGTGGTTTATAAGAATTATATCATGCTTTTGGAATTTAAATGCTAGTGATTCAGAAGGAAGTATATTGGACTTGAAAGGAAGGTATATTTTATTGTATAGAGCAGAGACAGTGGAGATTCCAAGTTAAGTCAATAGATACAAAGATATCAAAGTATAAAGTAAGTAGTAAATATATATAAATAGATAGCTGTTCTAACTTTATATGCTATTATAAGATATATACTATTCTTTGATTTCATTGAACTTGTTGAGCCATTCTTAGCACATTGGCATAAGTTAATGACTTATTTGATTTGTATGAGTTGTCTGTGTCTTTTACCATGATAGTGAATATAGAATGTGTAGTGTTGGCTTGACTATAGTATAAACCATAATGTTTATGTAGAAAATCTTCTATTCTATCTTCTGGCAGCAGGTCTCCTTCTTGTAGTGGTCTTCTTGATAATCTGTTGGATTCATGTCTAGTTCCAGAGACATATACTGGTACAAAGTGGAAGGATAGTATTCCAATAATTCAATGGTTTACTGCAGCTAAAGATGCAATATCTGAATTTTTGAGCATTCCTTTAATTGCACTGGCATCTACTTCAATCACAAAGATCAGAAAGCCTATGAGATATAACTTGCAATCTCTTAGACCTTTATATAATTCATATATTTCTCATTTTGCTTGAGAGTAACCACATTCTCTAGCATTTAGAGTAATAGATCTGAATCTCATAAACTTTCAGATTGCAGAATCCTTTGGGTCACATTGAGTCAGATGGTAACCAGCAGATCAACTCTATAGTCAAAGTAATGTCAGTAGATATGATAGGAAATACTGATAGAGATCAAAAGAGCTTCAATAGCATTTATACTAAATCTCCAGAGGTCCTATAATAATCATCAAAATCTTCAAATGACTCTATTGATAATTGAAAAGCACTTGGGTGGCACCTCTCTGATCCCTGTTCCATAGATCAGACTGTACACAGAAAAGATATTCTATTAGAAGAGGATGTCAGGTTTTCCTTTGGCAGACTTGCTCAAATATGTGCTGAGACAATCAAAAAGACAGAATTTGTTTTGGAGATGAAGGATATATGTATCAAACAGGAGATTAGCAAAGGATCTGCTGACTGGAATTGTATGCACTATTGAGAGCATTGGCATGATCTGATAACACCAACATCAAATCACAATGCAGTTTAAGGGAAGAATGGTAATACCTAGACTCTCAGTATATAGGGAATGTAATTTGGATGGGGTGCAATAAAGCATAATTCAAAGATATATATTGTGGTTTGCTTGGATAAAGTTATCTGTATCACTGAACACAATAAAACTTATCTCAAACAGTCTGCCTGATGCAGTTTCTGGACTGATACAATATGCCTGATTGTGACTTATACATAATACTAGCTGTTCTGAACTGTCTCAGGTCTGTTCTGACTGTCTGATATAAACTTTTGGTTGCTTTCTGGAGGTTTTTGCACAAAACAAAGTGACCTGGTCACTATAATACTATTCAGATTGAGTCTATGACTCAAAGCTCTTAGCCAAACACAACCTGTACTATTTGCTTAGTAGTGTTTCAGAAAGAGGCCAGAAACCTGCCTTCTCTCTATACATGACCTGGTATTTATACTTTCTGGCTATGTATGTCTGACTAATATAATAGACTACTGACTAATATATTTGCTGATTTAACTAGATAGGCTAAACTCATTTCCTAGCAGATATGAGCTCATGCATGGCTACCTGGTTGATCAATTGGACTAGGCTCTGGTTCTTGCCAACATGCTGATCATTCAGGTCTCCATTCTCAGACCTGAGAACCTTGCATGCTGAACAGAGAGGTTCACTAGTACTTCAGTCTCTGCTAGACACTGAGATGTCACACTCAAGGGAATTGTGCTCTCATCAGATAATTGCTTACTTATATCTTACTATGGTGGATAAAAGGTAGCTAACATGATAGAAAAATGATAAATATATTCATTTTTCTATCTGGTACAGCTGCCTGGCATATCAATGCTTTCTAGCTTGATGGATCTGTTTAGTATTTGGGTGGCATGTTTCTAATGATCACTCCACAAGAGACTGAAACAAATAGTCTTCCTATCCTGTATGTGACCAATACATCCTACTCATATATAAACAAGGTTAGTAAAACTCTGATAACACCTTGGTGCTAAGAGAGGCATCAGACCAGAACATACTTTTCTCTCAACTTGCAGTCTCTGGGTTTCATCCTTTGAGGCCTGAGGCTTGACTGGGTGAGACAAGAAATTGCTGCTATGAACATGATGGCTTTGGATCTCAGACCTGGAATAGAACTGTAGCTCTGTCCCCAACAGCAAACATTGCAGTGCTAGCACCAAAATGAAGCAGCAATGCAAATCCAATGAACAGAGGATGCACCAGTTATGCTTCACACCACTCTAGCATCCTTCAAATTTACCTATCCTATTCCTAAAAGCATAGTAAATATGGTAAGGTGTCATTCCTTGTGGCCCAAGAGTCAAGTAGTTGATCATTGTTCATCATAGTGATGGTAGAGTGCATTTGTTTAAAGGATGGAGTTACATATCTTGCAAATTTGGTCTTCAAGGGAGTGAGATTTGTTCTGGTATGCTCCTGTCTAAAAAATTGTTGGTGGAGAAAGGTATGATATTAGATCTATGGTCATTTTATGGTGATAATGCACAGGCATATGTTTTCATGTAAAGGCATTAGCAGTAAGATATAGTTCTATATTGAAAATTATCAGGACAGCAGAGCCAACAAAATGGAGGCTAGAGGCACTGAAGATCATATTGACACACACATAGTGATCTGAAATACTCTTGTACACTTTCTCTTCCATTCAGCACCCTTCTCACCCAGTAAGGTGTTCATTGAGACTGCCAAGCAGTTTCTATGAGATCTATCATACCTTGCAATCTCTCCTAACAGATCATCTCATGTTGCACAACAAGGCATCTCTGCCTAGATATCCAAAGATAGCCATTCCTTGCCTATGAAGGGCACATGTGAATACAACTGGATCTCTATCTCACAATGATGTGACTAATATATAATTTCCTGGTTTCTTCATAGCCTGTGTCTATCCCAAAGGTACCACTGGCATCTACCTCTAGCATCAGCAATCGGGTCACCAGGATTCATCGGGGCTTGGGCCCATGATTTCTCCTCAGAAGAGAGTGAAGCAAGAAGCTGAAGCGGCAGCAAAGGCATTGAAGACTGGTAGTATCTACTGGGTACTTATGTTTTATGGGAAGACATCACCAAAGTGTTCAGGTCCAGGTAATGACACCTTCGGAAAATCCCTTGCAATCTATATTCGGGGCGATACAACATTGAACTGTGCTTAAATAGACGTGAAGACATATTTGTATAATACCCTACAATACTCAAAATACGAAACAGATCTGTGACCAAGTGTAAACAAGACTCTACAGGGCATCGTCCCAAGCTTGGACGTCCCTAAGGTGCAGACTGCGACTAGCTGTCAGACCTCGTATGCATACAGCGAATGAATCTGAAACGAATGACTCACCATCGTCATTTTTGACTCCGGAAGAACACCGTTAGTGCGAGACTAAGGAGACCGCAAACCGTGAGGACCCTGAACGTGATGAGCGAAAGCGACCAGACGTACTCCTGCCATTTTGGAATCTCGGTAATTTTCCGTAGTTCCGGAAGACTCCAGTCCCAATTCCGGATGGCCATTTCCGCCGACGAAAGACAGACTGATGGACTCTTGATTTGAGAAATTAGGCATGGAGTTGATGATAGTCGCATTGCCAATTGCACGGATCGTTTCCCGGGAGTTCAATCTATCGATTGGACAGAATCAGGGTCAAAACAAGCTACTAACGGTATGTTCAGAATGCTCACGTCGCAAGGAGGGAGTTCATGTATACTGAAACAGAAAAAGACCTGAGTTAGAAAAACTTGAAATTGAAGGACACATACCTCTGCATACAATAATATAGAACAACATATAGATATAAGTATCCGGGTATACAATGTTGAATACGAGCGTGAGGATTGCGCATAACCCACAAATGGCACCCGTATTGAGAGCAAAGAGGCTGAGGCGATTGATCATGGTGTTGGTCTTGCGATATCCAGTTCTTTGTTTACGCAGGAGGAAGACTAGCACCATCGCTATTATAACATCCGACGCAGCGCTCAGGACGTTGAGGGCATGCATATAAGGATGCAATGGTATCAACTGCGCAAACTCATTATAGTCGGCCGCTATTCCATAGAAGACTGTAAACACAGGATGATCAGTATCTGGATGGAAAGTTGAGGCGAACATCGCGCACCCATCGTCGAAACAAAAGAAGCAAAGCACACAATATAAGTGGCCCCGGTCAACCAGATGTTCGCATTGCTGACTGTGATTGTTTTCATGAGATTGTTGTAGGAAATTTTAAAGAAGGAGGGGTCACCCACGACGCCAAATACGCCAGCAGAAAAAGGTTTGGGCAAGTAAGGCGATTATGCCGGTTAAGAACATCATTGGAAGGAGTGTGCTGCGTCATACTGTTCAACAAAAGCTTATTGCGCACAAAACACAAGTGAACTCACGGTTGTAAAGCAGATAAATAGGCAGGATTTGCGAAGTTTGTGACGAGGTATGTGTACACCAATTGGCTGATGAGCCCTTGATTTGCAGTGTCCGCACACCAGGTCACAGCGACTAGATACTTTAGCCATCGCGAGTCTTGAGGATACGTCTGCATGTTATTCGCATCAGTCCTCCGTATCTGAAGAAGTAGGGGATCGACGAACAGTGTAATAGAAATACATCTGGACCGTTCCAGCGCCCCAAAGACCCATAGCAAATCTTTTCATTCATCAGTATCGTGGAGTATCAGAAATGGAGAAGGGACCCACAGGGCACTCAAATACAACATGCCCATCTAGAAGAGCCGTATCAGAGGTCGGGACTTGTGCAAGAGAATATCTAGACCGTACCGTATTATCCAAAGCCGGTAAGGCCGTTGTGGAAGAGCTGGCGTCAGACATATCGAGGGGAAATATTTACAACAATACGCGCAGTGAACGGTCGCAGTCGCGACGGGCCTCGTAGATACCGGTAGCGCCGGAGGGAGATGATGGTGGTGAAACGAACAAGGAACGCCTTGTGAAGCGTTCCTATTATAATGGAATATTAATCATGGACCGCCTCCCTGACCCCATCGTTTCTGATATCACGAGAATCAGTAATAATATCGGAGCTATCGGGAGATTTTGAGCAGACGCAAATATATCCGACGACGACGGTGGGTATTGCCGGTGATATCAATTGTCGATGCCAATGCTGGTGGTCCCGGTTTAGTGCTGTGAGACCCTGCATTTACTGATGGCCCCCCTGGAAGATGTCAGAAAATGGGACCATCAAGAGAATGGAAGAGTAAGCTTCCAGTGGTGCGTTGGTCGTTGAAGAAATCATGAAAGGTTAGCCAAATGAGAGGTTCAAGTCTGGTTCGATCGTGGCGGTAGTAGTTAACGTTCAAATTCATCGGTCCTTCAATGTTTCCTGATCTAGAACGAAAGCGGACGTATTCCGTAAAACTTTCGACTTTGATTACGGCACTAATCTTTGCTTGGTCCCTTCCAATATACCCATCTCCCCATCATTCGGGGGTTTCCGTCTGTCTTTGCTTTGCGATGGACGTTACTATCGGTACCTTCGTTGGTGTGCTCGTCCTCCTCTACGCTTTGACCAAACTATATTCCATATTTCAAACTAAACCTTCCCTACCTCCAGGTCCTCCTCGAAAGCCAATAATTGGCAACCTATTCGATCTCCCTAAACCCGGCGAGTACGAATACAAGCATTGGGCAAAGCACCATGAAGCCTACGGTGTGTGAAGCTTTTCCTGACAGATCTCAACATTCAACACATCCGCTCTTCTCCGGTACGTTCAGGTCCCATAAGCTCACTGTCAATAATGGGTCAACACATCATCATTCTCAACAATGCGCAAACTGCGATTGATTTACTCGAGAAGAGATCATCCATTTATTCTGACCGCTTCTCGTCTGTCTTTGGAGGCATCATGTAAGGCCCATTGCCCCACTGGCCGATTTTTTTTTGGATCTTCATTTAACCTAACAGGTGCGGGTGGAGAGCATCACTCGCAATGTCTCCAAATGGGCATCGGTTTCGCGCAATTCGAAAAACTCTTCATCAGACTATAGGCACTAAGAATTCTTTGCAGCGGTTTACTTCTTTACAGGCGACGGAAATTAGGCGCTTGTTGACGAAAATTTTGAGGAGTCCTGACCAACTTGAGTATTACATTCGCAAGTCAGAGTCCCTGACCTTTGGCTGTGCATTACGGAAAACTTGATACAAACCTTACAGAGCGACGGGAGCTATCATCCTCTCTATCTCTCATGGATATTCAATAAATAGAGATACTCCGGATCCCTTTGTTACCCTTGCGGATGAATGTATGGCGGAGGCCTCCATTGCCTTTCAGCCCGGAGTATGGATGGTCGATGTCATGCCTTTCCGTAAGTGTCTAGATTCTCTGTGAACGTTCCTTATCTTGTCTCCAGTACGTTATTTGCCAGATTGGTTCCCTGGTACTGGATTCAAGCAAGTAGCCAAGAAGTATCTGGCCCGGTGCACCGAACTAGTTGAACGACCGCATGCCTTTGTCAAACAGCAAATGGTAAATCGGTATCTTTTCGTAAACCTTCCACCGAGAAAGTAACCATCTACAGGGACGTGGCGTATCCAAGCCTTCATACACGGAAACAATGCTCAAACTCCACGGCAAATCCTTGACCTCCGAACAAGAAGACCTCATCAAGTGGGGTGCAGCAGCGTTGTATGGCGCTGGCTCAGACACGACCGTGTCTGTAGCGTATAGCTTTATCCTATTAATGATCTTATACCCCCAGGTCCAGACGAGAGCCCAAGAAGAATTGGTATGTGTTTACGTTACCTTCAACGGTTAGGGGCATCCGAGCTAAGAGGCACTGTCAGGATCGCGTGGTCGGTGAAGAAAGGCTACCGTCATACGACGACCGCGACAACCTCCCTTACATCAACGCGCTCGTCCACGAAGCGCTGCGCTTTAACCCCGTCCTGCCCATGTGTGTTCCCCATGTAAGCATAGCATTCCAAGACGCACATCTTTGACAACGACGTCGTGATAGGTTCCGTCTCAGGATGACATTTATCAAGGATACTTAATTCCGAAGGGCGCCGTCATCATGCCAAATCTCCACCATATAGCCAGAGATCCGACTGTATATCACAATCCAGACATGTTTGAACCACAGAGATTCCTCGGCTGGGACGGTCGTGACCCAGAACCAGACATGGATATCGCGTTTGGCTTTGGACGACGGTGGGCTCCAGCTTGTCTCTATGGGATCCTTAGCTCTGATGTCCACTCATAGGATATGCCCAGGGAACGTCCTTGCCGATCAAACCCTCTTCCTCGCATTTGCAATGATCCTATCAATGTTCGACATCAAGGCCGACGAAAATAGTAACGTCGAGTTGAAGGACGATTGGACAACAGGACTGATTAGTAGACCAAAGCCCTTCCCATGCAAGATCTCGCCACGGTCTGAGAAAGCTTTGGCGCTCATTGTCAGTTTTGAAGAGGAACCAGCAAGTAAACAAGGGAGCGATGCTGAAGCTCTTGCAACCGTAACTTGGTAGTGTGTAGTGCTGTCATCATGTCATTTTTGTGGATTTGATGTAATACGGTGGTGGCGTACTTTCGCCGTCTTCACTGAGATGATTCGTCGATCGTCAGCTTTGTTGTATTCATCACGCCGGAAGATCAGATCATATACAGCATTGAAGATGTCGAGGGTGCCCCTCGTTCGCTGAACTCTACCCGGTCGCACTTTCCAATAACGACTCGGAGCCCCTGCAAACCTAGGCTTCACAATTGCCCATCACCATGCTCTCTTCGTCTGGATTATCCGTGTGCCGTGTGGGCTTAACGCATCGCAAATTTGGCCCTCGTAGAAAAACTTGAGTGATTTCGTAATCACGTGGAGGTCTGATTCGGAGGCCCTCCGTTCGATTATGAAAAACCGCATCAGTTGAGGGATCCGGTCCAAGAGCGTAATGATATCGTAATAACAGAGAAGGTCCACACTGCAAAAGCTGACCTCATGAAGGGATCATTCCATCTTCCTATCGCGGCGTGATAGGAAAATAGTCGGCGTAGTGACCTCGAGGGAGAAAAGGTCGAGGTATGTGAACGAATCCATAATTCCAAACGGTCTCGAGCAATCCTGGAGAATGGGAGGCGTCGTAGATGCCAGTTCGCGTTGGAGAACTGCGCTATGGGCGGAATAGCGGGATAATGGCACTGGGTTAACGCTAAGAAACAGGTCCGAGAGGAAAGAACTCACACCGATGCAGCGTCTTGATCTCCTGTCATGGTAAATGGAGGCAATTCTGTGGCATCGTCCTCATCCAACTGCAGGCGAGAGCGTGATAAAGGTTTCAAATCAGAGCCAGCTTTTAAAGGTACTTCTATGAATAGATTGAGATTCCTCAGTGCAACTATGATCTCTGCTCAAAGGCAGTCTGTTGATGACAGGTGAATTGATTCAGTGACTAAAGAGGACTGTCTGTCCTTTCTTTCTCACAGCCATAGCTCATCACATACTCCACACTCAGGCCAGATCTATGGATAAACTTTCTGAGAAAACCATAGACAAGACTCCTGCAGGAAAAGAAGAGAATCAGAGGCTATCCACCAGTACTAAGGAAGATTTTCCTGATGGTGGGTTAAGAGTCTGGTTGGTTGTAGCAGGGGTGGATCAAGTCATGCTCTTTATATTCTTTCAACCATACTGAGAGCAGATTCACAGACCATGTGCAGCACCTTCTCAATGTGAGCTGGTAGCAATATGATCACTCTTTCAATGACCTGACCTAATAATCCTAAGTTTGGGTTCATAAATGCATGGGAGGTGTGTGTTTCTCTCCCATCTGCTGTACTGTGTGACACTGATACTGCAACAGGTTTTTCAAGCATATTATAAAGAAAATTTACTGACTGACTCTGATCCTTCTACTATATGAGTTTTCCTTCTTGATCTTTGGTTATTGTTGACTTTCTCAGTGCATAGATTGGTTCTGTCCAGGTCTCCTCCATCTTCATTTAGTAGCATGCTGATTCTCATCCAATCAACCAGTATGCATTCATATTCATGCCAGATCTCATTATGGGCCAAATGCTTGATATCAGACACTTTAAAGTGCTATTTCTACTAGCAAGCATCCTTCTCATTGCAGCAACATTTCTTATAGCTGAGTGTTCTCAGTACTAGCATTTCCTACTTTGCCAGAGCTTCACTATCAGGGTGGGTTCTATTAAGCCCAAACTCCATATGACTATCAACATGTGATAAACAGTTCAGAACCTCACACTTCAGGTTAGACTGACTGAGTTCACTGATGTGTTAATAGAAGTGTGTGGTCAAGGCATTGCAAGTCGCTTGAGATAGGATGGTGAAGAATAAACTTTAGCTCGAAGCTGGGGTATTACAGTGAGAGCTATGCTACTTAAATACCATTCTGTTATCATACTATAAATAAATGTTCACAAAAGATATTGTCTGTCATAGAGCTGTTATCCCTGCTGTTGCCAGGCTCTCCACAAAAGCTGTTGTCTTGCTGTTATGCTGTTGCTGCTGCACTGCAATTCAGAGACAAAAGGGGCATTGTCTCTCCCTTCACAGCCTACAGCCATGCGATAGGAGAGTGACCGACTGAGGCACTGAGCTAAGCATTCCCACAGTCCTAAGCACTGGCCTAAGCACTCTGACTAAGCAGAGATAGAGGTCATTTCCAAGAAAAAAGAAATGAAAATGAAAAGAAAACAGAAAAATCATAACATTACCCCCTCCTTAAAACCATTGTCCTGATGGTTAAGTTAGGGTAAGTCACCTTGACCAGTAGGAGATGGCCAATCTGCTGAACCTCTCATCATTTCAACAGTAGACTTCAAATAAGTCAAAGGTGTCGCTGTATGTCCCCACCATTTGTGGCTTATCCATTGCAGAGTCATCTTCATCATCCTTGGTAACATGTCCTCTGCTGTCAGCAGATGATGGAACTTCTGGACCCTCCTCAGCCTTGTTCTTGGCAGGTTGGTTGATGTATATCTGGCTAGATATCATCTTCCTTCCTGTTGTTGTCACATTATGTTTTGCAGATATAATGTTGAATATGACCCTCTTTATATTGACTCATTTGATTCTGTGCTTGTAGTCCCAAATTGCTTCATCAGCATTCATGTACTTCTCATTAACCCATTGGTTTGATTCTGATCCATATCCTTTCCAGCTGACTAGATAGTCAACAGTTGTTTTCATACCTCCACCTCATGCTTTAACTTTTTGGGTTTTGTGGTTTAGTATCTCATCGATTTCATAATGTTCTTCATTGTCAATGAGTTCTGCTGGTGGAGGTGGTGGTCATTCTTAGTTTGGAAAGGCTGAGGCCATGTATAGTATCAACAATGTTTCGTTAAAAACATTATGAATTTTTTAAGTTGCTAGCAGTTGCAACTTGTATATCGAGTTTTCAATCTTTGCGATAACTTTGAATGGGCCTATTCGTTTGTTAGCTAGTTTCTGTTTCGGACATGAGAGATGGAGATTTGTGGTATCCAACCAAACTTTGTTATTGGTTGAATACTGATGTGCTGGCTGTTTGTGTTTGTCATACTATTTCTTCATTGACACAGTGGCCTTTTCAAGAGCTGTCTTTATCTCCTTGTGGATCTTTGCTATTGTCATTGCAAAGTCCATTGATGCCAGTGTTGTTGTGTGAACCCATCCTGTTTGTGCAACTGATGGATTCTGTCCATAATTTATGAAGAATGGTGTTTTACCCATTGCTGAGTGAATTCTGTTATTGTGTTGGAACGCTGCCAGTGCTAGCCATTCCATCCAGTCATCTTGTCGATAACTGATGAAAAGTCATAAGTACTTTTCAACTTCTTGATTTGCCCATTCTGTTTGGCTGTCTGTCTGTGGGTGGTATGCTGTTGAGGCATTTCGTTTGATGTTGAGGAGCTGGTATAAGTCATCCAAGAATTTGGAGATGAATTGTGGTCCTCTGTCTGAAATTACCATCTGAGGCATGCCATACTTTGCATATACCTCATCACATAGTATTTTTGCCCATCCTTTGGAAGTGAGTTCTGTCAAGCAAGCAATCAGCATGATTGCTTTCGAAAAGCGATCGACTATGATGATGATTGCGTTATAGCCATCACTTTTGAGAAGTCCGGTTATCATATCCACTGAAATATGGGTCCATGGTGATGAAGAGACCTCATTTGGATAAAGCAGTGCTGCTTGTTGTTACATTGATGATTTGCCCCTTTGACAAGTCTCATAAGCTTTGATATATTGGATGATATTATGGTCCATCTTAGGCCACCAATATTCCCTTAGAACCAGCTCCTTTGTTTTTGCAATCTCAGGGTGTCCAGCTGTTGCATGATCATGGCATGTAGCAATGATATCACCACAAAGCTTATGATCCCTTAGAATATAGATTCATCTATCGTATCAGATCAATCCTCCTTCTTTCTTCAGTCCCCACTCATGATTGAGTGATAGGGCTATTCTCTGATCTCACTTGTGGGTACCCTGAGTGGCACTCTTGATGTGTTCATGCATCTCCTCTTCTGTGGGCATGATCATTGCTCGGAAGTGTTCTGGTTGTAGTAACACGACCTTCTTATTGTCATCTCCTCCTTGGTTGTGATCCGCCCTGCGGCTGAGGAAGTCAGCCTTCTTGTTTGCCACACTGGCCTTATAGTGTAGCGTATATTCATATTCCGATAATTCTGTGACCTATCTGGCTTGTTTGTGATTAAGCTTTTGGGGTTGCTAGAAATATCGAAGGTTCTGATGATCTGTCCAGATCTCAAAGATCTAGGCTGCTCTGATAAGATAATGCCACCACTCAGCAAGGGTGAGTATTATAGTGAAGAGTTTCTTATCATAGATCTCATAGTTGCACTCAGTTATTGTGAGCACCTTTGACATAAAGACAACAGGTTGCCATTTGCCATCCTGTTCCTGTGATAGTACGGCCCCAATCATGTCTTCACTGGAGTCGGCTTCCACATGGAACTTTCCATCCTGGCTGGGTATGGCCAGGATAACATTCTTGGCTAATCAGCATTTAAGGTCATTAAATGCTTCCCATTGGGAAATTCTCCAAGTCCATAGGGAATTTCTGGTTAATTGCATCATTGGTCAGACTATTTTGCTGTAATCCCTGATGAAGTGGTGGTAGAAGTTGGTGAATCCTAAAAAGAATTGCAATTCCTTCTTCTTCATCAGCTTCAGCCATTCGATTACTCCCACTACCTTGATAGGATCTATCCGAATGCTTCCTTCACTGATGATGACTCTGAGGTACTCTGTTTTCAGTACCTTGAATTCACACTTCTTGGCCTTGAGGAAGAGTCAGTGCTTCCTCATTCGAGATAGCACTTGTCATACTATCTTTTGATGTTCCTCCTTGGTCTTAGTCATAATGAGGATGTCATCCAAATAGATTGTGACTTTTCCAGTGGCAATGAGATCTTTGAAGATGTCATTCATCATCCACTGGAATATGGCTGGCAAGTTCATGAGTCCAAAGAACATTACTGTCAGTTTGAACAACCCTTGGTTTATTCGAAAAACAGCCTTCCACTCATCGCCTTCTTTGATGTGCATATTGTTGTATCCTCATCGGATATCCAGTTTGGTGTAGTCTTTAGTGCCTCAGAGTTTGTCCATCAAT